CAGCGGTTCTCAACCTGTGGGTCGCGACCCCTTTGGGGGTCAAACGACCCTTTCACAAGGGTCGCCTAAGACCATCGGAAAACACATATATAATTACATATTGTTTTTGTGATTAATCACTATGCTTTAATTATGTTCAATTTGTAACAATGAAATTGGGGGTGTCATCACAATGAGGAACTGAATTAAAGGGTCGCAGCATTAGTAAGGTTGAGAACCACTGATATAGATAAAGGTCTCAGATCCCCAATAGCCAGAAAGTCCTGTTTCTTCACCTACTTGTAAAAATGAACAAACACAATTTTTAAATGAATAACGAAGGAGCACATATTCTTCCTCCTTTCTTTGCCATTTTAATAGAAAAAAAATATAAAGCTTATTACAAAATATATTTCACATTCTTTTTGTAATAGAAATTTTAAAAACACCAACTTTACAAAATAAAAGCAAATTCTAAGTGGAGCAAAGACATGAAAACAAGAAAATTCTGGAAAAGAGATTGGGATAAATGTATTTATATTCTGGGAGTGGATAAGATCTTTCTAAAGGACATAAACCACCCAAATGCAGCAAAGAAAAAAGACTGATAAAATTGAAGACTTTATGTATGGTAAAAAAAAATCACAAAATAAAAACAAAGGGGTCTTTAATTTACAAAGAATTCATACATATGAATAAGAAATAAAAAACAATCCAAAAGAAAAATTAATAAAAGATAGCAGTCAGTTTAAAAGGGGAAAACTATTTTAAAAAAGACCAAATGTATGAAAATATTATCGAATCTCATTCATAATTAAGGAAACACTCACAAACAGTAAGATACCATTTTTCTCACACAGATGGTGGCAAAAATTAAAGAAAGTGCTTGATGATGTCCAGAGCTGGGGAAATGGAAGAAAACATGCACTCAAATCACAGCACAGAATAGCTGATAATTGCAAAAAACCTCAAAACAGCCCAAGTTTTCATCAATAAGAAACTGGTTAAATTACAGTATATCCGGGAGATGAAATACTAGATGGCCACTAAAAGGAATGAGGTAGAGCTCTATGTATGTACTGACATGACAGGTCTCCAGGATATACTACTAAAAAATACAGTAAGAAAAAAAAAGGTGGTGGTGGTGGTGGGGCCCTATGGAACAGTGCATCAATGGGGGAAAAGATGTATCAGAGTCTATTGCAATTCCTTTCTGTCCTCTAAAGGAATTTAAAATACTGTTATCTTTAGGTAGATGAAGGAAGGGTAGTGGAAGGGGTGGAAGATTTTTACTTTTCATTTTGTACCATTCTGTACTGTTTGTTTCTATCCCTAAAGGTACAACATTATTTATTTCAACAGAGGTTATTAAATGGGTGGATACTCTATCTCATTCATTGTTTTCTTTGTATCTCCTCTTTATTAAACATAACACAATTGATTTACACACACACACACACACAAAGATGTTAACCAAAATATATAAAATATTTTTAAAAAACAGACATAGGCACATATATACACACATACATGCTGACTGATATTACTAGTAAGTACAAGAGAAAGCCTACCTTTTCCCTATCAGACACTTACTATCCTAATGAATAATACACATACTAGTAGTTAATATTACTTAAAGATCTCTAAGTACTTCATTAATCTTCTGTAACTTTCCATTTTATATGGTGATATAAGATTATGGGTTTAATAGATCAGTGAATAGAGAAAGAAATTTCAATTGTCTCTGAATAATGTTCTGACTGCTACATGATCTTTCTGTCCTTGTACCATCTCAGTTATGATTCAGAGACTGGTTTTCGAATCAGGTTCCCAAAATAAGCAGTGATTGTCTTCAGTTTATTGTTAAGAAAGTTTTGTTCTATTTCCACTTGCCCTCCAGGCCCAGCTAAGGATGCCACCTAAAAAAAACAGAAGAAAGTCACATATACACAAACAAAATAAATCCTTCATTCATATGTTTCATCAAATAGTAAGACGACTTGGCTTTTTATTCGAGTCCTTCAAATAATGAGGCATCTCAAATGTTCACTCTTACTTTCCAGGTATTAATGCACTATTTATTGGCAGAAATACCTGTTGCTTCAGACACTTTGACGTTATGGGAAAGATCACATGGTATGTTATTGCATTTGACCCAATCTCTCCAATGACAGAAGCTAAAGAACTCAGAGGAAGAGAAAATAAACACGCCCTCCCCAAATACCAGGTTTATTAAGACAGAAATTTAAAGAGTAAGTCACTTTCCTGAACACTTTTGTCCTGTTCACCTTATCTTTGGCATCTTACCCTCTTATTCATTAAACAATATTTACTGAGAGCCTGCTACATGATACTAAGAATAATCCATCAGAGAGCAAGACAGATATACTCCCACAAGTTTTAGTCTCTGCTACTACCTTTTCCTTCTCTAACTGGTCTCTCTCTTTTTTTTTTTAACTGGTCTCTCTTGCTTTTCTCCCAACCTGGACCACCTCTTTAACCTTTTGCTCGTGTGTGTGTGTGTGTGTGTGTGTGTGTGTGTGTGTGTGTCTGTGGTTTTACTCCCCCTCCTTTTGATTGGGCAAAATAGATTGCTCTTTTTGAGGCCTACTAGAATACAGTGACCAACCCCTTTATTAGGAAGCTAAAAGCACCACTCCTCTCCACCTCTACAGAGTTAACATCAACAGGGAGCTTCAAACTAGCAATGCTTTATCTAAGTTCCTATACAGATGTTTTGTATTAGCCCATTTTTTCATCCAACCTGGGTCTATTAACTAGCAAATATATTATCTTCTAACGCATCATTACATCACCAGACATGAGTTTATCGAGGTAGCAGTGAGGAAGAAGGGAAAGAATGCATGAGAAGCCCTGGAGTCACTGAACAGAACACGGAGTTTTCAATAAAGATGCTCAGGGACAAGTACAACCACAGCAACAAGAGACCTGCCTTCCAGTAATGAACTCTGGAATCGGTAAAACTGTAATGTATTTCTCAAAGAGATGTGCTGTTGGTCTAGTTCAGTGATGGCGAACCTTTTGAGCTTGGCGTGTCAGCATTTTGAAAAACCCTAACTTAACTCTGGTGCTGTGTCACATATAGAAATTTTTTGATATTTGCAATCATAGTAAAACAAAGACTTATATTTTTGATATTTATTTTATATATTTAAATGCCATTTAACAAAGAAAAATCAACCAAAAAAATGAGTTCGCGTGTCACCTCTGACACGCGTGTCATAGATTCGCCATCACTGGTCTAGTTGGCTGGGAGGCTGAAAGGTCTAATCTCAGCGGTATCACACATAATATACAAGAGGAAATATTTATTGTGCATTCCCAATGAGGATGTATTTCAAAGCATTTCAACTTTCTCGTAGAAAAGCAGCACAGATATAGAAATAGAGAAGAAACAACAGGTCATTCTATGGCATTCTTAAAAGAAAAAAAGTTGTTCCATCAATGCAGAAACCATGTCAACATCAACCCCGTCAGTAAAGGGCAACAAGAGATGGCTGTTTTATTAACAGAAATAAAAAACAACAGAAGTCAAACACAGTACCTCTTATAATGATAAAAAGCACGAGTGCATTCCACTATTTGCTAATAAAAAATGTAATAAAGTAAAACTAGAAATTAAAAATAGTCAGCTAGTCTCAGAATGACAACTGTTAGAAATACATTTTTTAAATTATTTTAATCCTCACTGAGGGTATGTTTTTTTGGGAGGGAGGGAGGGAAGGAGGGAGAGAGGAGGAGGAGGAGGACTGGGGGGAGGAGGAGGAAGAGGAGGAGGAGGGGAGAGAGAGAGAGAGAGAGAATGAGAATATTATCGATTGATTGCCTCCGGTATGGGCTTGAACCCGCAAACTTTTGGTGCACAGTATGATGCTCCAACCGAGTCAGGGCTAGGAATAATTGTTTTATTTTCCATTTTAGCATCTCTATGTCAGTCTGGTTTTTCACAAGGGCAATAATAAATCTGTCTTTAACTAATAAAAGGCATTTTGACTAGTATATCTAAAGTATAATTATTTCACAATAATTTCTCTATGAGTTAAGATACAGACTAAGTGTACGATTCTCTTCTCCCATTCATTCCTTTAAACAGTGAGTTAATGAAAGAAAGCGAGATTGGGCTCTCTGAATTGAATCTAATTAGTTGCCAAATTTCTACAGTGTTTTCAGGTAGATATAACTTCCATCCAAAGAACCGATTACAAAATGATTTCTAAACCATTCAGTGCTGGAGTTTGATAGGGAAAGTTTAGATAACAAGAGATACACGTCCTGGAATAACGCTCAGATAAAGGGAATAAGAGATAAAGGTAATAGGGGATCTAGAAAAATATTTTACTAGATACAGAAAAGAATTAGACTCTTCTCCTGTATGGAGAGATTGACAAATTATATTTATAGCATCCATACTCAGTGTAACCTCCCTACATGTTATCCAGGGTACAAATCTCCCTGCATGGGAAATTAATGGTCTTGATAGACATTTCTATGGAGAAAATGCACCCTGAATTTTAAACAGCAGACACATACACTTTGATACCTGGCCCACTTTTAAATTTAGGTTGTTGTGATATTCTAAATGTTCCTTAACAAAAAGTTGACTTTTCTGTATCTCTGCTCTCTCTCAATCTTGTAGTAATGTTTCTTCTCTTATTTAAAAAATACATATAAATTTTCTTCATTTTTAAAAAAAGAAAAGTTAACTTTCCATTGTAATTTGATCCAAATTCAGTACCAAACAATATAACTCTCAGGTTGCCTTTTTTACTTTTATTATTCTCTAGTGTCATTACTCCCTCTAGAGGTAGGAAAGGTGAACGAACTACCAACCATAATTCTGGCAGGCTTTTGGAAGAAAATGAAAAACACTAGTTAAAGAGAAAAAGTTAACTTCTTGAGTTAGTGTTAATTTAGAAAAAAGTTTACTTACTGTAACTTTTACAAGAAACAGTAAATTTCCTACTGTCATTCAAGTATCCAAATCAGCCCATCTAATATTTAATATAAAGATCATATAGCCTCTTCTGAGACCAGTTATAGAGCATAATATTTACATGAGAAAAGTAAGAATTATGGAATCAATGGGTTCAACCTTCTCTGAGAATCCAGAATGCAGTTCTGAGTTACAGATATGATTAGCAGATAGTATTAGGTTTAATATCAAATTTGTTATAAAAGTGCACGAAGCAAGGAACAGAGCTTTTTCCTGTAACTGGTGCGGCATATAGTATTTGAGAGGCCTAATGTTTACCCACACTGGCTCATAAACAGATGACAGGCTGCAAGATCTAATTTCATCTTCTAATCCACAGAGTAAGAGTTCTGGCTTGTTAACTTTTATTTACTCTTCTCTTAACCCAGAGAATCTCAACTCTGGGAGCACATTACAATCACTTGGGGAGTTTTAAAGAATGTATGCTTGGGCCTCATCCCAGAAAATAAATTAGAGAGAATCTTTCCCAGTGGATCAGGTTATCAGTAGTTTTAAAAAGCTACTTAGCTAAAACTGTAAAACTCTTAGAAGAAAACAACAATGAATTTGACAAGGATTTCTTGGATATGACATCAAAAGCACAGGCAATACACAGATAAAACAGAACTTCCTCAAAATCAAAAAGTTTTGTGAGACAAAGAACACTATCAAGAGAATAAAAAGACAACCCATGGAATAGGAGAAAATACTGGCAAAGCACGTATATAAGGGATTAATATCCAGAATACACGCACATGAAAAGATGGTCAACATCATTAGTCACTAGGGAAATGCAAGTCAAAACCACAACGAGATAACATTTCATGTGCATTAGGATGGCCATTAGCAGACAATCACCACCAGAAAATAACAAGTATTAGCAAGAATGTGGAGAAGTTGGGTCCTTTTCGAATCGCTGGTGCAGTGGTTCAGTTGCTGTGGAGAACAGTATGGTGATTCCTCAAAAAACTTAACACAGAATTACCTTACAATCTAGCAATTCCTCTCCTAAGTATATGCCCAAAAGAAATGAAAGCAGAGACTAGATTAGGTATTTGTATACCCATGTTCACAGCAGCATTATTAGCAACAATAAAAAGGTGGCAACAACCCAAAATGCCCATTGATGAATGAATAGACAAAATGCAGTATCTACAAACAATGGAATATTACTCAGTCTTGAAAAGGAAGGAAATTCTAGTACAGGCTGTAATAAGAATGAACCTTTAAGCAATTATGCTAAGTGAAATAAGCTAGACACAAAAGGACAAATATTTATGATTCCACTTATACAAGTTACCTAGAGTAGTCAAAATTTTATAGAAACAGAAAGTAGAATGGTGGTTGTTAGGGGCAGGTTGGTGGGGGCTACTGGGGATTTAGTGTTTAGTTTCAGTTTGGGAAGATGAGGTAAAGTTCTGAGATGATGGTAATGGTTGCACAACAATGTGAATGTATTTAATGACACTGAATTGTAAATGACTTATGGTAAATTTTATCATTACTACTAAAAAAACCCCACTTAGGTAATTCTAATTTGCAGAGAGCTGAGAATCAGTGTTCCAAAGACTAAGCAGATAAACCAAAGATGGGAAAATATAGCAAATTAACATGAGAATATGTGCAGTATAAGCAAGTATATCTGATTTCTGATAAGAGGAAGAGAAAAATCTATATTCTGAGATGTATGCTTATAAATTAAATTCTATCATTTCAGAAATATTAAAGCTATCTATTCTTTCCTTTAGAGAAAACATATCATTTTTCATGTTGGTCCTATTCAAAACCTTAGTAACATTTACATTCTTTCCACAATTTTATAATGGGATTTTCTAAGTAACAGACACAAGACTTTACTGAGGATTTATGAGTCAGAGGTACTTGCTAAATGCTTTACTCACTGATTGCATTTATTCCTCAAAACTATCACCGGAAAGCCAGTGAGTACAAGGCTGAGACTAAACTCCGGTCTGCCTGGCTCTTACTCTCTTTTTTTAGTCCATGACCTAAACATCACCCACATATTCCCACTTCCATGTCACTGACAGTCTTGCCACCTTCTCCTCAACTCCTACAATCTGATCTTTAACTTTAAAGTCCAGTTTACATGCTGTGTCATCCAGGGCCTTTCCTGACACCATCCACCAGACAGCCAGACTATTTAAGCTCTACCTTTCTTATGAGAAGGCTGCATTATTTATTATTACTATTTACGCACCTATCTTTAATCTAGGAAGATGCTGAACTAGCATGACTGTTGACTCCTATAAGGTGTCTCTGGAGACAATAGGGGGAAACCACCAAACAAAAAATAGTTATGGAGACCTGGGCTGGCATGAATATGTGTATCTAGAGGACTGAGGGTTGTGCCTGTGGGAAGATAAAACAGGAAGAAGGCAAACAAGAAACCTGACCTTCTGCTCTGGCTCCTCTCTACCCATTACCTTTGCCTTGTCTAAACAGTGTATGCTGCCTCACTTGCAGAGACTGTGAACTCTGATCCATGTTCAGGAGTAAAGTTAGGGCAGTCTAAACAGACATTCTGTTGTGAGAAGCTGAAACAGGTGGGAACTAACCCTGGCAGCTGCCTTCTCACGCCTCTTTCTCTGAATCCCTAGAGCTGATGAATTACACTCTTAAGATTAAAGAGTACCATCTTTGAACGCTGCTTTTTTCCAGCTGCTCCAAAAGGGTGTCAGTGGGAAGCTATGTCTTTTTTTTTATTTATTTTATTTTGATTTTTTACAGAGAGGAAGGAAGAAGGATAGAAAGCTAGAAACATCGATGAGAGAGAAACATCAATCAGCTGCCTCCTGCACACCTCCTACTGGGGATATGACCGCAACCAAGGTACATGCCCTTGACCGGAATCGAACCTGGGACCCTTCAGTCCACAGGCCAACACTCTATCCACTGAGCCAAACCGGTTAAGGCAGAAGCTATGTCTTGAGAGTGTTTTGTGATAAGTGAGCGCAGTCAGTGGTGCTTGGGTCAGCAACCCCAGAGCTTTCCCACCTGCATCCCTTGAAGTTATCACTGGGCTGACACAGGCTATACATTACAATGGAGAAAGGGAGCTTTAAAAACGATTAGATCAATTTCTGGGGTGGGGATTGCATAGTCAGTTTTTTTTTTACAAGTGTCCCTGGTGATTCTAAAGTGCAGCAAGTATGACCCTCACTGGATTCTGGCCTGTCCTTTATCCTTTTGCATTACTCGAGAATTGCCAATACCCAGAAGATATCTGAGGGTCACAAGTATTTCATGGAAGGAAAACAAACTGGATTATAAATTCTATCAAGCTGTATGCAGAAAGGATAAAATAGATTAAGAATTTAAACTTTTAAATAATAATATTAGAATGCAAATGAAAGCAAAGGTTCAGAAATACTTAAGGATAAAGAACATGATTAGATGGATGCTAGACTGTATATATCTGAAGAATGAACTAGCTAGCTGGAAGACCAGACTGAGGTAATCTCTCAGAAAGAAAAAGGAGACAGAACACTAGAAAATATAGCTGATGTCCCAGAAAAAGGAAACAAGATGGTAAGGAGAATATAGTTGAACAACTAAAGAGATAATTTCTCTAGAATAAGATGAAAAAGCTCAGATTGATAGGGTCAGTTCTCAGAGTATCAAACAGGAGAGAAAGAACAAACCCACACCTAGCAACATTGTAGTAAAATTTAAAATATGAAAGACAAAAGATTTAACAGATGTATAGCACAAGGCAGTATGTAGTAAATGTATTAAAAATTCAACAAAAGCATGAAATAAAGATATCATCAGATCTTTATGAGGCAGTTATACTAGATCCAATTCTACTAGGGAAAAAAAACATGCGATTAAAATAAATGCTTATGGTAAAGACATTTTAATGTTAGTCAAGCGTCCTATCCTCCAAAACAATAGTTGAAATGGATCCTGGACAAATAAAGGTTGTATCTGTCTATATTTCTATTTAAGTGACAATTTTTAGGAATACCTAAAACTTCTATTCTCAAGGTAGGGTTCAGTAGAGACAAATGGTGGCTAATTTAGGTGTGCGCATATGAACACAACACATTTAGTCATTCTTTCAGGACATATCATTAAAAGCCCAGCATGCTGTTTCTGTGCATGTATGCCAGGAACGATGGAGAAGGAGAGAATGAAATAGGTACGGATTTAACTGGCAAACACTCCCAGTTTTCTAGTAATGGGAAAAAAGTCAGGGACTTCTTATAAAAAACATTCTCAATTAAAGCATTTCCCTGGATCTTTTTTTACCCATTCTTTTGTAACAGTTATGCCAAAGGCTCATGGAAGTTTTTCAGTAATGGCTTACCTGGTCAATATCAGCATTTCTTGGGAGAAAATAAACAATGTTATTAGTGATCTTCTGAGAAAGTCTGAAAATTTCAAAGGTGGACAACAGTTAAGGAAAAGTGACAAAAACAGCAGTTAATTTCTGATCAGAGATTAAGTTCTCCACTTATAACCCAAATGTATTTTAATATATAATAGCAAGGCACACATTTAATCCTCTAATGAAGCCTAAGAGAATTAAGGGATGATTCCTCTGGGGAACAGAGATAAAGGGACAAATAATATAAACGCTATTAAGTATGAAATAAGAGCTTGCTTCAGTATTTTGGAAGAGTAACAGGAAAATGTGAAGACACACAGAGAATTAGCAAAAGTGTGAGTGGAAGAATAGCTAAGGGATAGTCACCCAGACATTAGGGACAGGTCTCCAGGAAATTCCCAATTTCCAGACAATAATTCCAAACAATCAATGCTTTCTAGTTTTTGTTTTGTAATAGTAAAAGTGGAGGGCAACCGAAGGAATATACTTCACATTTGCTATAACTTTTGGAGATTCATCACCATTTAACTTTTACACACCTGCTTTTTATGTAAAACAAGCTAGAAACTATCAAATGCTATTAGCTTCTTTCCTCTCACGAATTTCTCTCTCAAGCACACACACACACACACACACACACACACACACCCCTTCCCCTCCACAACCACTGTTTGAGTAAACTCTTAGGACTTTCAAAGGATATCCATCAGGAGACATCATTGTCCTAATGTCAAAGGTCTCTGCAGTCGCGTAGTCTGGCCCTCCCCAAGGGGGGCTGAGGAACACAACGTCGGCCTTTAACTGAGGAGCCAGCAGCAGGAAATCTCCGCAGATGAACTCGACTTTGTCTGCTATCCCATACACTTCTGTATTATTGCGAGCAAGATCAATCTTAACAGGATCAATATCAATGGCAATCACTAAAAATGGGATCAGGAAAGATGAGTCAAATGATATTGATTAGTAGTTAGCATTAGTAGAATACTTCATCTTCAGATCAGTGTATTTATTTAACGTATAAGAATATTTTTTTACAGACTAAGTGAGATTTGGCCTCATATACTAGATAGTTGCCACTAAGTATCTACTGAGAGCCAAATAGGTGGTCAGCATTGTGTTCTGTGCGAGGTACAGGCTTAGTAGCAAACACTTGGAAAGGTCCCCAACAGTATATAAAGCCTATAAATGCTAAGATTTCATAAAAGACCAATCTCCTCAAAATGAGGCAACCACCGAATTTGATAGCTTCTACAGAAAAGCAAAATAAAACAAATGTTGACAAACCTCTTTTGTCAACTTAAGAAAGGTAAAAAAGTCTGCTGATGATGTTTAATGGGACATTTTAGGTAGAAGGAACAGACAACCTTATATTTTCATCAAATCGGCTTTCACTTAATTTACTGCAATTTCATAATTAGCAATTCAAACATAAGTTAAATTTAGCTCACTTACATCTTACAGTAAGCAAACATGTGCGTGCACCAGTGGCACTATTTTGTACCTGGAAGGGCTAAGTGGAATCCTGATGCGTACACCATGGTTGTGAAGGAAACAAAGCTGTTTTCCAGAACATGGTGGTTTCAAAATGGGTTAATACTTTTGAGAAATAATGCACTTGAACAATGAATACAAACACAAATTATATCTTACAAAATCATGCATTTATATGCTATGTTTTCCTGTTCTATATAAACTAACATTCATATTTATAAGGAAAAAGATAAAAACGTCCTTTTCAGCTGCTCAATCTGCTATACTGATAGTAGAGACAGATGGAAAGATATGCTGACAACACCAAAAATTCAACAGAAAAAATGACTTTCAACATCAAGTATATTCAATTAATACTCATATTTTTATGACTTCCTTTGAAGGCAGACTTTATTTTCAGGCCTAACAGAATGCAAGCATTCACTTTGCTCACATAACTGAAATGCTGACAAATGTTGGATGATACTAAATAGAACTGCACTGTTGAATAAAGGTAGCCACCAGCCACATGTGGCTATTACCTTTAAATTATTAAAATGAAATAATGTTAAGAATTTAGATCCTCAGTCACAACGCCACGTTTCAAATGCTCAGTAGCTACTTGTGGCTGGTGGCCACCACAATGGACCGTACAGACATAGAACATTTCCATCGTCACAGAAAATTCTTTTGAGCAGCACTGATACGGAACTACTGGAAAGGGAAAAAGAAATCTTTAAAAAACAGCAAAATACAAAACTTTGAGAATTCTCTAAGTTTAGAATGTAGACTCCATGAACAGATATTTGTCGTTACTCGTTACTGGAAAGAGGTGGTATTGTGCTTTCCTGTTGTGTTTGTACATTAACTAGGAAATGAAGCATTCAGTTGGGTATATGCATAGATAGCAACTACCTGAGTGAAGATAGGGGTAATAAGGGTAAATAGTGAATTCAGGGAAAACAAGAAAATAATAGCTATTCTAGTAAATATGAAAATAGCTTTCTCTGAGGAGACCATGTAAAGTCAGCAAATGTCATGCTCTGGAGCACAGCAGGGATTGCGTAAGGGCCACAGTTCATCAGCACTCGTCTTAAAAATCAATGCTGAGTTTCACGTCATCATTTCCAAGCTTTTATATCATTCTTTTCAGAATCATATGCTTTTCTAGGTAACATTAAAAACTTTATGTAAGTTAATGAGACTCAACTGAAATTTACTAAAATGGAAGCTATCCGTAGAATATAAAGACATTGGGGTAGCGGAAAAGCATATTCAGAGTATGACTTATGCCCCTAAAATGTCACATTATTCTGCACTTTAAAGTCCTGGCTTCACGACTCAGCTATGTCCATGTGGGCAGACTGTTCAATTTCCTGAAGCCCCTCTTCTTTGAGAAACTGCACACGTATTACCTACTCGACACAATTCCTGGCAGACATATAGTAGCGGAGGGTTTCTTTTTTGTGATTTCAAAGTCAAGCTATTCTGAGGATGCTCTAATATTTAAAAGATGTTTAGTGTCACAGAATGTTAAAGCTGAAAGGCAATCACAGAGGATATCTCAAGTTCACGTCGCCTTTAAATTAAGGTTAAGTGATGTCCATAACAGTAGTGAATGACAAAGCTGGGATTCCCTGTCTACTCTTCTTTTCTTTTACAGAATAGTCTCCCCATTTTAATATTTTTATATATTGTTATAATCTTGGCTCTACCGAACTTCATCTCTTTATTTCTGTTTATCTGTGAAAGGCAGATAGTAAAAGATACACTTCACAAGATTGTTGACTAAATTATTTATATATTAAATGTCAGCAAAGACAAACTGAAGGAAAATGAAACATTTACTGAATAAGCTGAATATAATTTACTTTTCTTCCATTGATGGCTAATTACCTCTCTTTCCAGTTAAGGCAAACTGAATGGTGTTTCCTCCGACTCCACAAAATGCATCCACTACAATGTCGCACTCGAAGGACTGACTGACCCGGCCAGCAATGTGTTCAGCAATCTTCTCAGGTGTAACTGAGAACCAGCCCTCTGCGAAGAAAGAGTATTTCTGCTAAGAGGTTCAATTTCAAGAAGCCAAGCCAAGCATAAACATAACAATCATTACTACATAATATATACTTTAAAACCCCACCTTTGTTTCTCTTTCAAAAAACTATAAATAACCCAGTTTTAAAGAAAAGTTCTACAAAGCTTGTTATAAAAAGGAATAGTAGCATTCCCATTCCCAAAGAAAGCAACTATTTTAATTCTGGCCTGATTCTTTTGCGATATATCACCAATAACTGAATGCAGTTCCTATTTTTATGTCTGAAGTATTAATTACTGACTATCTGCTATGGAAAATGTAAAGTTAGCCATTCTAATTGGCCAACTACCCAAATTCCACAGAGTTTCCCTATGACTTCATTCCCTAATGGGGAACCAATGAACCAGATTTGTACTGGACACTTTGGAAAAATTCAAACATTTCTAAAGGGCCAGGAAAAGCAAGGAGCTGACAGCAAAAGGCCGCAAAGCTGTAGGATTAGCAGAACGCTCATTATTTTCAGAAATGAGGTCCCATGTCCCGTGAACACTCCAGAGGGAAGAGGATAATGCCCTCTTTCTTTCCCAATAGGAGAAATTCACATTTTTAAGGAAGATATTTCTCTGAACAAAATGATGCACCAATTTTCCTGTTTCTTTCCTTTACCAAAACTTTAAATGGCTCCTCATTGCTGGAATAATAAAAATATTAACTACTTTTACAGAATTAAAAGCTTTTATCTAGTCATATTTCTCCTAACAAACTCCTCTGCATTCTTTTAAATATGTAATTTTTTTGTAAATAATTACAAGAGGTTCACAGACCCCTGAAATTCCACCAGTGATCCAGAATTCCTGATTTTGACAGTTAACACCTAATTTAAGTAGTTCCAATATGAAAATAAACATCAATTTTCAGAATTGAGTTAAGTAAGCTGTTCAAAGTAAGGGCAGGAAAACTTACAAAAGAATTCAAAGTTTCCAGTGTTAATTCATTACACTGTCTTCACGACCCTGAACATTACATGTTTCTGCACTAGGTATTTCTTCATCAGATGTTCTGTTTAATAATCTATCAATTCCTAAATACAGATTAAACCTGAGTACAAAGTTTTAAAAACACACATATACCAAAATTAAGAGACATTGTGGACATTAACTGGCTGTTATTCTTTGGAAAACATCAAATTCCTGAAAGATAAAAAGAGGCTGAGCAACTATTCCAGATTAAAGACAACCAAAGAAACATGAAACTAACTGCTATACACGATTCTATGTTGGAAGGAAAAAAAAATGCTATAAAGGACATTAGTTAGAATAATGGCTAAACTGGACTATGGACTGTAGATTACAATACTGTAACAATGTTAAATTTATAATTTTACCCGTTACATAAAAATATCCTTTTTTTCTTAGAAAATACACATTCAAGGATTAAGGAATAGGGGCAACTGGATCAGAAACACACACACACACACACACACACACACACACACACACACACACACACACACACACACACACACACACACACACACACACACACACACACACACACACACACACACACACACACACACACACACACACACACACACACACACACGAAATGATAATGCAAATGTGGCAAAATGTTAAGAAACATCTGAGTCTGGGGAAAAGGGATATAGAAATTTCCTGCTACTCCTGCAACTTTTCCATAAGTTCAAAATTATTTCAAATTAAAGTTCAAAATTATATATACTTTACCTTTGTCCAATTTAATTCCATCATCAAAACGGGAGAAGAGCCGATACCTCTGGGCCCAGTATTTTGCCAGCTCAGGAACAGCAGCTATTTCAGGAGGCAGACTGATTACCTTCCTGTTCTTGTTTTTCTTCTTCTTCTTCTTTTTAATTTCAGCTACAATAAAAGAATATAAAGAATAGAGATGCGTACTATGAAAAAAGGAAATCACAGGTGAATTTATCTAAAAGTGCAGCCACGTCAAATAATTTGGGACTGAGCTCCAGAACATGTGTGCAATCACACACTTGGAGAAGCAGGAGGGTACAATGGAAAGAGCACTGACGTCAGACTATAGCCTCTAGTTTGCTACTTACTGGCTCCCCAAGCTTGGATAACTAATGCAGGCTCTCAAAGCGCCAGCTTTTAATTTCTCAAAAGGAATAAATGACTGAGTAGTATTATACCTATTTGCTTTACAGAACTGTTAGGAGATATTATACTATTACAGGTATATAAGCTATTACTTCTGTTGGGTAAGACTCTGCTTCCCTGGTAAATTATAGAAATCCAAACATTTCCTTTCCCTTTTTTAAAATAAAATTTCCCAAGGACTGATTAACTCCAACTCTCAGTTAGATCCATCCTTTGAACCCAGCCATAACCTAGAAGCCATAGCGCCTCTGAGAAATTGAAACAGGGGTCACTAGCTCCATTTAGTAGAAAAGTACCTCGTTCAGAGACTGACTTTTTCTTAAACAATTTTTTAGTTTGCTTATTTGGTTTCAGTTCTGAAATTAGAAGTGTTTTCATAGCTAAATATAATGACAAAAAGTGATATTGACAAATAAAGCTCTATCATATTTAAGTGATCCTCAAAGATAGGACTATATCTTACTATAGTCATCTGACCATTGCAAGTATCTAATGGTCTCATCAACAGCGAAGTGCAGCAAGCTTCTCAAGAGAGGGAACACTGACATTTTGAGTGAACAAATCTTATTGTGCAACATTAAATAATCCAAAGTACTAAATGCCAAAACTCCCCAGGTCATTTGACAACCACCATCTTCCAAATGCCCCGGAGATGGTGGTATCATCCCAGGTGAAAACTACCAACATTGTGATGAGTAGTGATAGGGAATTAGGGTAGCGTGGGAAAATGAGATTTAGGAATCAGACAACTTGGTACTGAGTCCTTGTTATGCCACTTAAGGCTGTGTGACCTCAAACAAATTTCTTAATTTCTCTGGACTTTATTTTTAGTTTCCACATTTACAGAATGGAGCTAATTCCACCTACTTCATTGGGTACTTTACAGATTAAATGAGAATAAGGCATGTGAAAGCATTTCAGAAATCTGCACGTGCTATATGAACACCAGTTGTACATTAAAACAATTGTACAATGAAAAAGTTGCTAAATAAAAAAATTTAACTACCTTAAGCATATGCTGTTTAGAAAGTCAAGGAAGTATATGACAAAGTTATCATAGATCCATTATCCCTCCCCTCCACCCCCGCCCACACACACACACACACACAAAGCAAGATTCAAATTAGCTATTTTACTTAATATAAAATTAAGGAAAATGAAAACAGGGGTCACTAGCTTCATTCCTAAGAAAGAAATCATCACAATAAATGTAACTGTTTCATTAGGCAAGTCTGAAATAACTCATCTATAAACTGAGTATTATCTATAATAATAAAAGCATAATATGCTAATTGGACTGGACAGCCAAACGACCTTCTGGATGTCCTTCTGGACTACCTTTTGGATGAAGCCGGGGATGCAAAGGCCAAGCCCCTTGCACGAATTTCGTGCATCAGGCTTCTAGTTTCAAATAAAAATTTTTACCTGATAAAGCCCCAATGTTCCACTGAATACAATTATCTTTTAAATTATAAAAGAACATTTGCTTAAAATAAATTCAAATAGTACAAAAGAGTATAAAGTAAAAATGCTACTCTGTTCTCCACTCATTATAGCGAACTACTGTAAACGCTTTATGTCAATGCAACATCCAAAAAAAATTTACTGCTATATACAACCGCTACAAAAATAACAAAATAAAAACGATCTGGCCACCTATAGAGCATGGGACAGAGGGTAGTGGCAGAAACCAATCTGAATGGCATAGACAGAGGTATTCAAACACAGTTTTGCCATATGCTTTACCTTTGATTTTACCATGTCTGTTCAGTCAAGAGGGAAATGAACTCGGGTGCCAAATCATAGCCATTAGCACATTTACTTAACATGCCTTCTCTCAACTTAAAAGTAAATAGCAGGGAATCCTTAGGTATAGATGACTCCTAAGTGAAAACTAGGGAAAAACATTTATAAAATGTATTTCTCTAAATCCACCAGCAGGTTGAAGCACATTTACTCTTACCTTCAGTTTCCACCTGAAGAGAATCTGGTATATCCTGAGCAACACAATCCTCCTTATCTGTGACAGCTGCTCCGGTGCTGTCCCCTTCATTTTTTTCTGTCTCAGGTTCACCAGCTGAAGGTGTGGCATGACCCTCTGCAGGCTCTGGATTGCTCATCTCCAGTGGCTCCTCCTCTTTGGTAACAGACACTCCCTGCTCTTCTGAATCACTGCTTGTGCAAGCGTCTTGCACATCGTCATGAGAAACTGACTCCTGTGATGCTTCCTCATCCATTGGTTCGTTAACCCATTTTAGAAATTTTTCTACCTGAAATTGTAAGATGCTATGGGCATGAACCAATTCCAATTACACAGAATATTTCCACCTGCTTTACCATTTGTGACCTGATTGACAAGCTGCATCACAATTCTTAGCTCTGACAAGTACACTGTATCACAAAGCTAATATGAGCAAGTAATTCCAAGCTAATTGCACTTTCTTGTCTGGACATACCATGACGTTATTAAAGACTTCTTTAAAAGGAAGAAAATATCAGATCACACACAAGACTATGATCTTTCTATAATCAATTAACATTAAGAGGATAAAGTTGAACTTTTACAATAGCTTTCCATAAAGGCTTCTAACAACATAACTGTACTATGTGATGCTACCATTACAAATGTACCCACCTATTGTGGAGTCACTAATTTTAGTTTTTCTGCAAGACCCAGGCTATTATCTATGTTAAATGGTACTCAGCGCAAAGATGAACTCTAAAAAGATTTTGTGTCTCTAAGAATAAAGGCAGTGCTATCTTGCAAAGGATGCAAACTGCCTTTTACTGAAGCAGTAGAGTCAATAAAATGATTCCTATAAATTAGGTTTCTTCTATGAAATGTTAACAAGGCTATATACTTTCTTGCTATCTTCTATAACAAAAACATTCTTCATAACAGATCTTCATGACCTTCCTAAAAGTTAGGAAATTAGAACAAGAGTGGTAGACAGAAATGGGCATAGACAACAACCCAGAATCTTCCTTTGAGAGGACTGTGCCTATACATCAATCAGATATCTAAGGACACAACAGTCACATTCTGGCCCTCTCCCTCCTCCGCAGTAATACTTAGCAGCTATGTTTCTGCTCTTCATGTACAGGTGAATATATGGGGGCTATCACATCTAATACATTATAAAAATTCCTATAGGACCAATTGAACCAATACTGGAAATCTGTTCCAGACATAACTAGGGTCACTAAAATATTAAAATATCACCAGCAGCCAAACAATCTGAAATACATTAAAAATAAAAACAGCTATAAAATTGTAGTATGTTTTGGAAGAATACAAAAGTTAAAAAGGGTAATTATACAACAGAGGAAAAACAAATATATGGGGTCTGAGATTTCTGTTGACTTAAAAGAACTGCTGGAGATGTGGCTGACACAAGGTTCAGCTCAGCAGAAAGTGTTTCTTTTTCTATAATGAATCACTCATCAAAACCAAGCAAAGGCAATTTTAATTACTTTTGTTTTCCAGGTAGTTGGACGATAAGTACAGCAAAGTCCAAGACAGGGGATATGACTATTCTAGTTAACAATGCGAATCACCAAATTAGCCTTTAATCTCACGTCATTAGGATGAACTTGTTAGAGCCAAGTTTAATCAATCACCTTTAGGTGACCTCAAAATTAAGGATTACTACAAAAGTTGTATCAGACAATGGACTTCTGGGATCCTACTTAGCCTAAACAGATGAGCAATTTCCATTGTCTGTTACTACATACACAAGGCAATTTTATCTACTTATCTTCCCAGACTCTCTCTACTACTTTGTAGCTTTCAAAACATTCCCTTTTCATATTGCCCCCAACTTAATCTTTTCCAAATTTGTTTCACACAATACATGTCTTTAGAAAGCAAGTAGAAAAGAATCTCAGGTGCCCTTATATCTGGTAGAAACAGGGTTCCCATTTGAAAACAAAAACTTTAAGAAGCCAAGCTCACAAAATGAAATTCTATCTGTAAATAAAAACAAAATTTATACATACCTTACTCAAAGTTTTGCTTTTCTTAAAACATTTTTTTTCTGTGTCTTCAGTAAAGAAAATGTGTTTATTTTTCAAATTTATTTGTCTTCTCATGTCCAAGAACTTTGACTTATACTTTACATTCTTCTGTAGATATCTGACCCGTCTATGACTGAAATGTGAAATTCCACCATATCTGAGACCAAATCAAAAGAAGTTGACTGAAATCTTAAGTTCTATCAGTTTGTTTCTTTATATGAAAAGAAAATAAAACTAACAACTTTCACTATTTTTCTATTAGCAGCCACTACTGTAATTTCATTTTCCTAATTAAGAAATAAAGTTTAAAATGCAGTTTAAGTTCTAGCTTTGTATGTTAATTCTCAAGTAAATGTGAAACACCAAAGTTGGAAATATCAACAGATATAGAGCAGAAAGCAGAACCTACACAGTATAATGTAATAAAGAAATAGCAAAATGGTAGGTCTTTAGTTTGCTTTAACTACTCAGTTCAGTCTTCATGTCATAGGCAATAAACTCCTCAATTTCCTTATATTTAATGCTTGGGCATTTAATCCCAGAGAACACTAATACTTTCTGTACACAAAAGTTCAAAGCAGCTTTATTTATAATAACAAAATACCACACATAATCCAAATGCCTTTCAATAGATAATGGTTCAACAAACTATGGTACGTCCATATAATGGCATACTACTTAGTAATAGGAAGGAATGAACTATTAGTACATGCAACAAGCTGGGGGTACTTCAAAGGCATAAAGTAGGTCTTAGGAAGCAACCTGGCTATAAATCAATTAAACACCAGGCCCTACTGAAGGGACTAGGTAAATGTACTGATAAGGCAGGCTGTTGATGGTACATTGTTTAGGGGAAAAAAGCAAGCTGTAGACTATGTATAGAATGATTTTTTGTTTAATAAAAAGGAGTAATGTGTGTATATGTACATAGTCATAAAAACATACATGAAAAATTAGGAAGGATATATGCCAACTATTATCTCTGGGGAATGATTTGAAGAAAAGATTTTCACTCTTACTTGTTACTTCAGTTGCTTTATTTACTAGTATAAATTGGAGTAACAACACTGGATTGCTTTGAAGTACAACTGAGTTAATACATGTGACTACATCAAAGGTATGGTGATAACTATAATTCTTACAAACAAGAGAGACTAGTGTTTTAACTGCAAATGATATATCTCAAATGATATAAGCTACATACTCATTATTAGCTATCTGAATATCAGAGAGCTTTAAGTTAGCCCAAGTGGTTAAGATTTAAGGACAACAGCATTTATGTATAATTACTTTTGTCCGGAGCCATGGTTGAATCCTAGAAGGGCACCATTGTCATCAAAGTCTGAATCTGGGTTTTCATCGATGTCCAGCTCATGGCTAAACAAATAAACAAAAGGTGATAAGCCATTATCTCCAGAGCCCACCCGTTCAGGCAAATATCAGAAGTACATATAGTCAATCTACGCAAACTTGCCCTTTACAACAATCAACCATAATTCACAAACCCAGGAAAACAGGAAAAACAGTATTTTAATCAGGATTTTTCAAATGAGGAAAAGTACCAAGCAGTATTTGGAGCACAGTAATAAGCACTCAAAACTTAAATCCTGTCAAGTAATTATCTCTATTCCTGAACATGGTATCTCTCCATTTTCCTTTGAAAAAATACCAGTTAAAAGCTGCAGCCTTAAACTAATCTCCTAGAGTTTTCTCCAGAGGTTTTTCTGAAAAACAAACAAGGAAACATTTGAAAAATATCAACCCAACCAAAACATTACAAAAGAAAAAAAATATTGTTAAGAAGAATCAGGTTGTGATACAAGTGGTATTAAGTAACTCAGGATCATCCATTTATGGGAGATAGTTCTAATACTCCCTACTACCTGGGCAACAGTAATGAGTAAACAGAAATGGTGAGACATTATTCTTACAAATGAAATGATGCTCACTGAACATTTATGGAGGACCTAGGTTCCAGGAATGTAAGTACACACAGTCTGCCGTCAGGAACTAGCAAGAACTAATGGAGGAATTCACATGCAACGTCTACCGTGTAGAAGGAACAAAGAGAGGTATGCTTTTATGTACTAGTTGCTGAGCCTCTAAAGCGTGCTTACTGTTTTTCTAGAAACTATATGGAACACACAGTCTTATGCGAAGCACTTCATATGCTGTTATAGAAATGAAATGTGCCCAGCTAACATCCAAATTCTGTAATGTCCATCCTTTTCCTGTTGTTTCACAGCATTAGCATTTGGCCACATTTTACCTGACATTATTCTCTACTTGTTTAATTACATGTATCAATGATACACTACAAACAGTCCTGTCTTCGAAGGAGATGGACTGGGCTCTACTTTTGGAGCTGCCATTACCGCTACTTAACTCTGGTCAAAGTATTTATCTTTGTTTTGTCTTAGTATTCCTACCGATAGAATGAGAGCACTAGATTTGATGTATCTGAAGAGCATTTTAGCAATAAAATCCTGTAATTATTCCCAGACTTTTGGGAAAAAAAAAATTAGAACTTCCTTAGAAAGATAGACTGTACCTACTTATATATTACTAGTTAATAGCTATCATTCATTGATAGCTACTAATATATTAGTATATTACATGCTAGTTCCAGTCTTCCCAATGATCTCACAGAAGAGGCATCAGTTCCACTTTATAGATAAGAAATTGTGGCGGAACTGAAGAGGCGGAGTTGGGATCTGACCATGCTCCAAAGGCCAGGGTCTTGTCTTTTCTCCTCACAGTGCTGAAATGTCACAAGCACTCGGTAACTACTCACTAGAGGAGAGAGTGGCTTACGCTAACACATTCCAGAAAGAAAGGTAACGTGCAACTTGCCTCCTCTTGAGTTTGCTTGGCTGGCGTTCAGGTGGATCTTCTTCACTCTCATCTCCATCGGTCTTGTTGGGAGGTGGTCTTTCTTGGATTGTGTTTGCTTCTGAAGACTTCTGTGAATCTAAAGAGGCAGATTATTACTGTGGATGTCTCCCCTTGGTTTGACAACTCTCCTGCCATTTACAAAGGCAATCAAAATATTTCCTGCAATGAACTGTACGTGTATGTAAGACAAAGTGTCAGACCACATCTACCGATTCTGTGTATCTACACACAGGATCTGAACATAAAAAAAAATTGGAGCTATGTCTATTAATGTTTAAAAGTTTCCATGACTTAGCTACTTTGAAAGTGAACAAAAACTACTTTTTCCTGATAGCTATCTAACTCTACACAAATTATTCCACAAAGTTATCTTTGTCATAGCTATTAGCTATTACATTTTGATGAAATTTTAATCTAAATGACTCTAAAGATGTCATGATCACATTGATTAAAAAATTCTCTTTCTTAAGAAGTAAATACATTTAATTGTCTCTAACATAGCTCTTAAAGTAATAATGCAAGTAACAAAGATAAACACCACCACTTAAAACGAGTATAACTTGTTGTGGCTCCAACTGAGGTACATGTCTGTCCTTGTTCTCTATTTCTTCAGACTGGAACAAAGTAGGTGGGTGAGAATAGAAGTGGAGAGGTGTCTGCAATGTAGACAGTGGGAAGCTTTGAATATGTGGGGACAGACTATTTCAGGAGAACACCCAACCACAAACAGTAGAAAACATACTTATAAAAAAATGCAATATGCAGGGTAGGGCAAAAGTAGGTTTACAATTGTGAGTACACAAAACATAGTTTATCCTTTTATTTTTATTTATTAATTATTTTATTATTTTCCATATGAACGACTGTAAACCTACTTTTGCCTCACCCTGTTTACCTTATGTTTTGATCCTTTTATTATTATTTATTCATTATTGTATTATTTTCCATATGAATGACTATAAGCCTACTTTTGCCTCACCCTGTTTACCTTATGTTTTGATCTCAAGTGAGTATCTAAAACAAATTAAAATCTAGAATTCTTAATTTGATCCTGATGGCAGTCACACTGGAGCTAATTACAGACATGGGGAATTATATACATAGGAAACAGGCAATAGAAATGGTCAATTTATACACACAGTTTAGCAAACAGGCAAGAGAAGGCAGAATCTGTGAGGTTTGAAGAATATCAAAGATTAATATAAGATAATCACATAAAAGGGATAACAACAGCAAAATCGAAAGGAATGAGAATATTGCACTAAAGTTAAGCTCCATTTCAAGAGTACAGAGAAAAGAAGTAAAAAAATAGATAGGGTTCTTTAGTAACTCTCAACTAGATGAAGATCAGTGACCTGGGATGAACAAAGCAGGTCATATAGGAATAAGTATGAGAAGGAAATCCCTATGAACCATACTTTCTTAGTACCAAACATCAAGGATGCCAAGATAACCCAAAAGTTATAAAAATTTCCATTTTCCTGGTGCTATCAATTGGTAGTACCCTTCTCCCTAGCAAGAGCACTCTAATCCACCTTATTCTAACTTTTTTTTAAACACACTCCTCTTACTGGCTTTCTTTAGTCCTTACAGTAGCACCAGGCTGCATGATGATGAATTTTTTTATAATCACTTGGGCAGGAGTCAACCAAGTTTCTTATCCTGAGTATTTTATGAAAGTCCTGAAATCAACCCTTCTAGGTATAAATGAACATCATGCCCTGTTTAAATTCTCTTTATAGCAAGACTTCATTGTCCCAACTCAATTCCAGATATGACTCTCATTCAGATTGGCCTACTGTCGAATATGTGCTCTCCACCACTCTTTAACATGCCTCTTATAAACTCATTTGTTCTAGAGAAGTGGTTCTCAATCTTTCCAATGCCGCGACCCTTTAATACAGTTCCTCATGTTGTGGTGACCCCCAATTTCATTGTTACAAATTGAACATAATTAAAGCATAGTGATTAATCACAAAAACAATATGTAATTATATATGTGTTTTCCGATGGTCTTATGCGACCCCTGTGAAAGGGTTACTGCTGTTCTAGAGAAACTTGGACATTCCAAGCTCACTCTAAATTAAAGTTCTAATTTAATTAGAAAGGGATTTCCAAGTTTTAATTCACTGGCCACCTAGGTATAAGAGAAAGGAATGGTACTTTTGAGTACTTTGTGAAAATATTCTTTTTAATTTATATAAAAGGGTAATAAACAACTTGTGATATAAAAATAAGATGGACTGAATAATTTCTGTACACTATAAAACGTAGTTTGCACTACTTAACTCTACCATAAAGGATTAGTATTCTTTTTCTTAACAGGTTCATTTAGTTAACTGTTACTTAGTAGGATACTAGTAAATCTTGGTCAGTCTTACCCTGAGCTGGTTGATTTGCGCTGTTCCCTGACAAGTTGCTTTCCTTGGCTCCTCCATTACACGACTCACTTTGGCCAGAAGGGCATTCTCTTCTACTGTTAACTTCATTTAGCCACTGATGTCCGTCAGAACTTACAGATGACTCTAACTGGCTCTCTTCTGGTTTCCCTGAATTCAGACTTATATTACTAATTCCATCAAGTAGTTCATTCTGATCTTTTTCACTTGAATTAGAGCTTTTACAACCTATTGATGAAGATGGAAAAGAAAGTAAGTCTGCTTTCATGCAATTTTCATCTTTCTCGTTGTCAACTTCTGTTTTAGGCCCACACATACTTGCACCACAGCTTTGTGAGGCATCAAAAGTCCAACCCTGAGCTTCCCAATACTTAAATTGTTCCAAATAATACCAATAAAGTTGACTATAATGTTGCTCCCATTCTTCCTTGGTATCAGGAACGTTCCAAGGTTCAGAACACAGTGTTTGATCTGAATGTTTTTCTTGCCAGCTTTGCCATAGTAGTTCTCCACCGTATTCATTCCAGTACTTTTCCCATTTTTCTGTAATTTCTAGCTTTGGAGATAATGTACTTTCAGTAGAAAGGCTTTCAGTTTCAGTGTCTTTTTTGGGTTTTAGTTTACGTGTTCTGGTGTTCTCATACTGTTCAACTGAAGATGGATCATCTGAGGCCAAAATGTCATCTTCTTCATATTCTTCTCTCCAAGATTCTTTTATCATCTCATCTAAGTACTTCTTTTGATGTTTTTTCTTTTTCTTTTTTATTTTAATTTTATTTCTAGTATTCATAGACACCTGCATAAGATAAATAACTTGAATACAAAATCCACTTCATAAACTAAAAGAGAAAGTAGAACCCAAATCTATTTTGACATTAAGTTAAACAAAATAGCCTCAATCTTTGTGCTCCTCTGCCCCGCTCCCCACTACCTTCACCCTGGGCTTTTAGTTACACAAACAAGTGAATCTTACTACACAAGATCCCAAGAGAAGAAAATCACATGGGGGACACATCACAACTTAGTTTTGGTTAATTTATAAATCTGTACATTAAAAAAGAGACGGAGTGCTCTAATTAATAAATGCATTAGATGTGGGATTAAAAAAATCCCACTAGATTTTACAGAGAAAACTAATAAATAAAAGTAAGTGAATACTTACCTCAAAATTCTTATGTGCAGACATCCCACCAAATTGAAGTGGCAGTCCCATACTTTTCATGAGTTCAGTCTCAGAATCAAGTTCACTTTCATCTAGGTCTATGCCTTTGCTATTACATGATTCTTTATTGCCATGGAAATTACAACTTTCCTCCTCTTCTGTAGCTTGGTCTCCTATAGATAGCATTTGTTAACTTTAGAAAAAATTTAGATGCAGGTTTGATCATCATTTTAATGAAGAAAACCTGAGACCCAGAGTTATTACATGCCTTGCCCAAAGGTGTATAATTGTTACAATTTTTAAGGGGGAAAAAAGGGAATTGATGGCAATATGGACTAGTAAAAAACAGCCAACTAAGAATAAAGAGACAATTTCTAGTCTGGCTCTGCCTATCACTATCCATCTAGCTTCCCATTCAACTTATACTTCTTGAGCATCTCCTTTGTGCTGGGCATTGTGCAAAGCACTGAGGCTATAAGAAGGAACACAGTAGAGTAACCATGAGGCAAATTTTTACATTTTGATATTCCTTCTCTGCAGTATTACTGCACTAGATCAGTGGATTTAAAAGGATGATTTGTTAAGTTATTTTAGGAGCTGCTAATAAGAGAGGTGAGAGGTTATGTGTTCAGGCCCCTTACGGGTACTTCAATCACAACTGGATTGTTTTGTTTCTGCATCTCCTCTGTAAATACGCTTCTACTTCATCTTCAGAGTGCTCCTAACTACCTTTGGTTAGGTGCTGCTCAATTTGAATGAACGTACGCTCAAATAAAATCTGGAAAATTTTTGATATGCCTCAGTTTAGCTTTTAAAACAGTGATGGAGAACCTTTTGAGCTCGGCGTGTCAGCGTTTTGAAAAACCCTAACTTAACTCTGGTGCCATGTCACATATAGAAATTTTTTGATATCTGCAACCATAGTAAAACAAAGACTTATATTTTTGATATTTATTTTATATATTTAAATGCCATTTAACAAAGAAAAATCAACCAAAAAAATGATTTCGCATGTCACCTCTGACACTTGTGTCATAGGTTTGCCATCACTGTTTTAAAACAATAAAATTCTGCATTAGAAACTAATGTTCTCTACTTTTCAAAGCCTCAAATTTCAAGTTGCTTTTATCTAATGGCGACAACTCAGGAAGGAATGCTACATGAGGCAAAAGAGGCTACCTCAACTCCATATAGGAGTTTGCTATAAGAACAGAAAATTTCTGCTTTGATAGGGATTCTAGAACCATGCTATAAAAAAAAAAATGACTATGATTACAGAATATTTTTGCCACATGATATGTTATGCTAAGAAATTAATACAGTATTTATAACGAATTATAATGAATATAGTGTTATGGTTAATTTTAGCAAAAAAGGATGATATAGTTTACACTGTATTATTACCTGCACTGTTGCCGTTGCCTTTAACATAGTAGCCTTTTAATCCCAAATTGCACAATTTTCGATCTCTGTGAAGCAAATCAAAGTCAGTATTGAAAAAAATTAAATTACAAATTTAGAGAAGAAATAAATTCAAAGCAACATAGGTTAATTAATACAAAGGTTAAAGATAGAAAAATAATATGCTAATATATTTTCCTAATTTGTAATACAGAAATAATAATGCCTATCTCATGGGGTTGTTATAAGGATTGGCAGTATCTGTAAAACATTTAGTATTGTGGCAAGCATTTATAACTACTAATTACTATTTTTGTTAATCCTCACCTGAAGATATTTTTTCCATTGATTTTTAGAGAGAGTGGAAGGGAGGGAGAGAGGGTGAGAAGAGGATGAGAATAAAAGAGATAACCAGGTGAGAGAGACACATTCATTAGTTGCCTCCCGCAGGGCCAGGGACCGAACATGCAACCCAGGTATGTGCCCTTGACTGGGAATCAAATCCAAGGCCCTGTGGAGTGTGGGTCGATGCTCTAACCACTTAGCCCACCAGCCAGGGCATAACTAATTATTAAAATAAGTGGTATTCAGGATATTGGGGGAAGAACCCAATCCTCCTTATGATGCACAAACAATGAAATGCTCTCTAAATTTGCTATAAAAGGGAAGCATAAATATGGAAAGATTTATCTGACACATATATAAAATCTACATGCAAACCACAGTCCATCTGCAAATAGGCCAAAATATTCATTGCCTAGTAGACAAGATATTCATGGTCCAAGCAAAGGTTGTTTTGCAGACTAACATAAAATGAAGTACTTATTTAAATATTTTAGCAAACTGAAACATAAATCAAGATAAAACAATTTAGTCTCAATGACTACAGTAGTTGTGTAGGATATACTTGTTTTGGGGAAATACACAATGAAGTATTTAGTAGTGATAGTCACATCTGCAGCATGTTCTCAAATGGTCCAGAAAAACACTAATGATGGCGTGTGTGTGTTATGAAGAATTGGTGAATCTGGGTGGTGGGAATATGGAAGTTCTTTGAATTATTTTTGTAAGTTTAAAATTATTTCAAAATTCATCACTTAAAGAATCAATAATCAAAGCCTGCTTTTTTATAGCACAAGCAACTTTCTACCATGCCATCATTTCAGCAAGAAAGTTAGCCTTGACCTATTCTTTCTCATCCTATTTCTTTCCTTTATTCCCTCACATTCATTCCAACTCCTTAATCTCAACAGTTTCTCTCCATTTCCACTGCCACCAATCTTTATCCAAGTCACCTAGAACTTGTAGCCTGAAAAATGATTATGTGGTTCCCCTCCTTTGAACCATCCCCCAGGTGCTGCTGATTACCCAGGGTGATCTTCAAAGCACTTATAACTTTAACTAACCAAAGGTTTATGTAACAGTTGTCTTAATATTGATCTCCTTTGCCAGTAAGTAAAGTCAAAATGTGTTAAGGAAGGGCTGTGTCTTGTACCCCAGTGCCTACTAGTACCTAATACAAAGGAGCACAACAATCATTCATTGAATGAATATATGCACATATAACTACAAAAACAGAAATACTTTTCACATTAAATTTAACATAGTTTTCCATTTCTTTTTGAATTTGCAGATTACTTCACAAAAACACATGATGAATAGTAAGAATAACTTCAAACTAAAACTCTACTACATTAAACTCTATTAAAAGTCTCTCACATAAAATTCACTTCCACAAGTTGAATCTAGCAGTAAGCCTGTGAGATGATTATGGTGAATATACCTGTTTTAGATATGAACTCACACATCCTCCTATATAATAAAAAGCTAATATGCAAATCAACCTAACGGCAGAATGGCTGGTCGCTATGACGCACTCTGACCACCAGGGGGCAGACGCACTCAACGCAAGAGCTGCCCCCTGGTGGTCAGTGTGCTCCCACAGGGGGAGCCCCGCTCAGCCAGAAGCCAGGCTCATCTCATGGCTGGTGAGCACAGCGGCAGTGGTGGGAGCCTCTCCCACCTCTGCGCAGCGTTAAGGATGTCCGACTGATGGCTTAGGCCCATTCCTTGTGGAGGGTGAGCCTAAACCATCAGTTGGACATCCCCTGAGGGCTCCCGGAATGCGAGAGGGCACAGGCCAGGCTGAGGGACCTCCCTGGTGCACGAATTTTGTGCACCAGGCTTCTAGTCTAATATAAAGAAAACCATCTCCAGAATCCAATTCTTTAGGCATTTCCCCCTCCCCCCACTAGCTATCTTACAGGTACAGCAGTTTTTACCCAAAACAAATATTTTCCCAAAATAGAAGACAGCTCAAAAACGAATGTAATTGTAGTTAAACCTTTTACCTCACAAGTTATGTTTATGTGAATTGGTGCTTTAATAAATCTTAAGGTTTTAAAAAAGACGTTATCCAAAGTAAGTTACTTATCTTTAAACCTTTACCTTGTGATGTCATATCCACTAACTGGATTTCATTTTACATTTCACTTTCCCCCAATTTTAAAATGTCCCCTCAGTTTATAAATATAAAATGACATATATCAACTACCACATTTTTTCATTACAGCCCACACAGATTTACTCATACACTTAATGGCAGAGGCCACCACTCTAAAGTCTGAGGATTTTCCCCCCCTTTTTCTTTTCTTTTTTTTTTTCATGTTTTTATTAACTTCAGAGAGAGGAAAGGAGAGGGAGAGAGAGAGAGAAACATCAATGATGAGAATCATGATGGATGGGCTGCCTTCTACACGCCCCCTACTGGCGATCGAGCCCACAACCGGGACATGTGACCTGACCGAACGGAACCGAGACCACCTGGTTCATAGGTCATGTTCCACCACCGAGCACACCAGGCAGGGCTCCCCTTTTTCTACAACATCAGCTTGCCCAAGAGTCAAATACTCTCTCTGGCCGTGGTTCCAGGGACCCATTGCAACTGATCTGCATCACCTCCATTTCTGGGCAATAATCGTGCAAAGGGAGAGCGAAGTTTGTACTTACTCTACAAATGCCCGGGAGCAGAGGCAAAGGATCTTATAATCCTCCTCCAGGTCTTCAATAAAGAGAAACATTTCGGCCACGTGGCTCCACTTCTCGCAGCACATTGTACCGCTCGGAGGAGGCAGCCCTGCGGTACACGGAGCGGGACCAGCGCCCGGGCCTCGGCAGGGTCCTGCAGACCGGAAGGAGGCCT